ATATATATGATAAATATATGTGATATATGTTAAAAATAAGAGTTGAAATGAAGAAGACAATAGATGGAATATATAGCAGGATGATTAAATCAAAGGACAAAGTAGTAAGCTGGAAGATCAAATTAGGAACTCACCCGGGGCAGGATTCTCCAGGATCTGGAGAATAGAATTATCAATCCAATAATACAAATCCCAAAAGGAAATTGAAAGATACGTAGAATACCAATATATGTAAGGAAATACCAATACCTTGACACACTATAGTGAAATTGAAGAACAAAGTCAATAGAAATTATTAGATGATTCCATACAGAAAAGTAAGCCACTCACAAAGGAACAAAAATTAGACCAACATGAGACTTCTTATCAGTAATACTGGATTCAAGAGACAATGGAATAATATATTTGCACTTAAAAAATTTTTAACACCTCTTACAGTGACAGCATAGCTTACAAACATAAATGTGCATAAAACATATATGTAGCACATAAAGAAAAATTATAAAGCAAACACCAAGATAACTGCAACTGAGGTTATGAAACATGCCTGGCCACTTATGAAAATATCTGTGAAAAATGTAATGTAGCTCATTTTGCCTGTTTTTGAACTTTTTATAAATGGAATTTTACTGTATGCATCATTTTGTCCATATTTTTTACACTATGATTAGAAATCTATCCATGTTTGCCCATAGCTATAGTTTGCTCATTTCACTGCTTTATGGAATTTTTTTTTTTAAAGATTTTATTTACTTACTTGACAGAGAGACACACAGCAAAAGAGGGAACACAAGCAGGGGGAGTGGGAGAAGGAGAAGCAGGTTTCCTGCTGAGCAGGGAGCCCGATGCGGGGCTCGATCCTAAGAGTCTGGGATTATCAACTGAGCCGCAGGCAGAGCCTAACGACTGAGCCACCCAGCCGCCCCTCACTGCTTTATGGAATTTACCACAGATTATTTTTCTATCCTTTTGTTAAGGAACAATTAGTTTTTTTCTAGTTTGGGCTATTATGAGCAATACTGTTAGAAATACCTTGTTTTTATATCCTGAGATACATGTCCAGAGTTCTTAAGGTATACGTTTGGGAATGACAATGCTGGGTTAGAGGATGTATACATTTCAACTTTTTAGAGATTGCCAGAATGGTTTTCCAAAATCCAAAAAAAAAAAGCTTTCTCTTGAGGTCAGAAATAAGACAACGATGCCCACTATCACCACTACTCATGCACATTTTTATCATATTAAGGAAGTGCTGTTCTATCTCTATTTGTATGTATTTATAAAATCTAAAAAATTTGAGCCTGTAATTTTAATGTGGGAAGATATTTGAGTAAACTTTTTTAAAAATGTTAATGGTACTATTCAAATTTTCTATTCTTCTGCATCCATTTTGATAGGTTATATTTTTTCCTAAGAATTTGTCCATTTTATTTAAGTTTATTTGGTCATAATTCCCTTTATGCTTGCATAATATGAAGTAATGTCACCTTGCTTTAATTCTGATATTGGTTAATTGTATCTTTTCTAATTTTTTTTAGGTGATCCTGCAGGAATGTATCAACTTTATTGTTCTTTAAAAGGAAACACATTTTGATCTTCCTGATCTCAATTATATATATTTTTTTTCTATTTCAATAATTTCCACTCATTATTTTATTTTAACTTCTGCTTTCAATCTCTTTTGTTGTTTCTTTTCTGGACTCTTGATATGGATTAGTTCATTAATTTTCAGCCTTTCTTTTCTCTAGTATTTATACTAAGACTCTAGTACTTATAGTAAAAGAGCTAATTACTGCTTCAGATGTATCTCACAAACTCGGATATGCAGTATTTTGTTATTTTTTCAGCCCCAAGTATTTTCTAATATCCGTTATGATTTCCTCTTTAACATATGACTTATTTGGAAGTATAATTCTTGATTTCTAAATATATGGGAATTATCTAGCTATCTTCTTGTTGATTTCTAGTTTAATTGCACATTGGTTAGAGAGCACATTCTGTAGGATTTCAATCCTTTCGAATTTGTCTAGACCTGCTTTCTGGCCCAATATATGATCATTTTGGTAACTATTTAATATATGTTTGAAAACATATGTGTTCTTACAAGCACTAGAAGCAGTATTCTGAACAGATCTATTAGTTCAAATTATGTTGTGGTCAAGTCTTTCAAATCATTGTTAGTGTTTTATCAGCTTGTTCAATTAATTATTGAAGAGAGGTAATTTCCTAACAGGGCAATTTGTTCTTCTACTACTCCTTGAAATTTTATCAGGTTTTCCATTATATATTTGGGGCTATGGTACTAGGTAAATATAAATTTAAAATGGAAACTTTTTATCATTGAGAAGTAACCTCTAACTACTTTTTTTCTATTTTGTATAACATTCATATATTTATACTAGCATTCTTTCAGTTAGTATTTGCTTAGCATATATCTTTCCATTTTTTATTTTTAATTGTTCTGTTTCCTTATATTTTAGATGTATCTCTCAAAAACAGGGCACAGTTGTATGTTTTAAATCCAACACGAAATATTTATTTTTTTAATTGGGAGCAATTAGTACATTATTGTTATATGGATTTAAATCTACCACCATATTTTTGTTTTCTACTTTTCCTATTGTCTTGTTTCTTTTTTCCCTTATTTCCTTGCTTTGAGTTGTCGGAGTATTTTTTTAATCATTCCATTTATTTTCTCTACTTGTTTCTATCCTATTCAAAGTTATATATCCTGTTTCTATTCTTTTAGTGGTTGCCCTAGAAATTGTACAAGTGTTCTTATTGTATCAATATCTAGTACTAATCATTACTTAACCCCTACATACATACACACATACACACACTCACAGAGATCTCTCGGTGTATTTGTTAAAGCACAGGAAATTTTCTCTAAAGATGTCTCTGAACTATCCACCGGGGTTATTGGGTCATGGGGGCATTGTATTGGAAGGAAAGGGGGGAGATTCATTCTTCTTATCAGAGTGGTGTGTATATCACATTAAATCATGACCAAATGTTAGTCATCATTGTTACTTGTAGGCTTTCTTTGTATAACTCACTTTTACATTTGCTACAGAATATTTTGAGCATGATGTCTTACTCATAGTCAATATTATTTAGGGATTGAGTCTGAATGGGGAAAAATTAAGTCTTTTATTTTCAAAACCCAAATTAAATGAAATTAATTATTAAAATGAAAAAAATAATCTCAGGATATATGAGTGCTCACTGGATTGGCAGTAACATAGCCCTCAGGAAGCTGACTGGCACTGGGCTGGACTCGGGGAATGCGGTAGGGAGGGTACAAGTTTTATCATAGGAAATGGTGAGAGCATAGAAATAAAGTGAAATGTTTTGGATTAATTGAAGTCCTCAGTAGATTAATGTTTCCATAGCAAATATTGTAAGGGTGACCTTCATAGTGTAGATTCACATAGAATGCACTTTCACACACTTAAAAACCGTATGAAAATGCCTTGCCCCTAGATTCATGGATCTTCTGATCACAAATTCTTGGTTATAATTTCATCTATTTTTTTGAATGGATATATTTGTTGATTAAATACATGTACCTAAACATGCTTATCCAGGCACACCCAACTTCACCCTGCTTGTGGCTTCTTCCCATACCTACTTTTCTCTTTTCATTCAAGTGACAAAATTCTCTCCTTGACCACACTCTACTCAGGCTCCCCAAACTCTTTTTCATCTAGGCCTAGAATTTTGGATTTCCCGTTCTTCTCTGCAGTGTTCAATTTTAGCAAGAAAGTCAGTCTAGCTAGAGTCCCCCATCCTCTACATCTGGTCAAGCTTGATATCTTTATCTAATCAGTTTCCTGATCCTCCACCATCTTCCTGTTGATGTCTGATCACAGTGAACTGACTATTGCAAGAATCTTGTTAGGTTGGTTTAGCCCCCTTACTCCTGACGTTTCCTCTTGGTAATTTTCCATCCATCACCCCTCACCCTGCTCCTTGGCTATAAATTCCCACCTGCCCAATCTGTATCCCCCACTGCAAGACGCGGTAGCAGTGATCCTTATACACATGGCAAAGCCCCCCCCCTTGAATGAAGTCTGCCTTACCATCCTTTAACAAGCCTCTTGAATAATATTTTTTTCTTTAGTATCAGTCTCTGCTCAAGTCTCATTTTCAAGAGGATCTCAGAGACAACCACTTGTAAAACAACTTTCCTGCCTATGCCACCATCTTTATTTTCTTCAAAGTAATTATACTATTTGAAATAATAATAATAATTCTATTTATTTATTTACTTATTTATTCACTAACCCTCGGAGTATCCCCAAAGCCTAGCACACAGTAGACAATCACATATTTGTTTAACGCATATACGGTCTGTGGAATCCTAACAAATACAGGTAAAACACAGACTTACACATTGCGAGAAGAAAACCAAAAAACTAGGTTGGAAGGGGCCTTGGATCTGAGAAGGGCCCTTAATGGGTGAAGAAACTGAGACTCAGTTGGGGGAAAGCCTTGCTCAAGGTAACGGAGGTGAGCAGAGGGCCTTTTGCCATACTAGGACGTGGGCCATCTCCTAACGGTCTAACGGGGAGGGGGCCAGCCTCTGCGAGGCAGGCATCTCCAAAAGGAGAGCCTCGTAGGAAGATGCTGTTCAGCTGGGGATTGTGCACCAGGGCAGATGATGCAGGAGATCTACGCCCAAGCCTGGGACGCCACTAGCCAGGAGCGTCTAGCATCGGTAAGCCCAGCTCAAAGGCTAGGCCTCACACTGGGCGCTGGGGCCAAGTTCACCCTCCGGCCCCAAGCTTCCTCCCACCGTTTTTGGCAAGCCGGCCGGGAGGCTGCCGGCTGGTCCCGGGCTGAAAAGTCTAACAGGGGATAAAAAGACATGGTCTTGGTTCCCCGGGACGTTTTAGAGAGACGTACTTGCCCCTCCCTTTCCGGTCGGGTTCGCCCGGTCTTCTCCGGCAACCACGTGTGTTTAGGCTGGACACTTCCTCTGAGCTGGTGCGATTGTTGGTGTTTCCCTGATCTCGGCTGCCGAGGTCCTGCAGGGCCGTGAGGACGTCACCATGGTGGGCCCCCTCCCGCTCCCCTGAACCCGCCTCTCTGGAAGGCCGACATCGGGCAGGCTGGAGGGAAGGGGGCGGTCTTGGGATACTGGGAGAGGGGACCGGGCTAAGTGATTCTACTGGTCCGTACACTGGGGTGGGGGGTGCAGGGCAGGACAGCCCCGAGGTGGCCGCCTGGCCCCGTGTCTGGACCTTAAAGTTCAACTTCTGGGTTCCGAAGTGTTCACAGAGCGCCCTGTCCCTCGGGGGAAGAGACTCACGTTTACATTTTCTTGCTACTCACCAGTATGTGGGGGGCGGGAGGATGGTGGGGGGGAAGGTCGGCAAAACTTGGGAAAGTGTTGCCTCCATACTGGTGTGCCACCTCTTGCCGGTTTAGACTGCTTAGGCTCAATCTCTTCTTTCTTGGTGTCCGATCGCTGCCCTCCAGTGATGTACTCGCTCCCCAAATCCTCCACGCCCCCCCCTCCCAGTTCCCTCCAGGACGCTCAAACTATTCTGTTGTTTTTATTAAAAATTGACTAGATGCAAAAGAGTGTTTACATAACATAGTGAAGTATAAAGATTAGTAATGTAAGGAATTCTCGTTAATCCGTTATCCAGTTTAAGAAATAAAACTTCTGAAAGATTCTGTGTTTCCTTCCTTGGATCTATAACGTTCAGGAGCCCCTCAGGTAAACAGTATCTAAATTTTGTATTTATAATTCCCTTGCTTTTCTTTATAGTTACCATTTACATTGTATTCCAAAACGGTTGTTTCTTCTTGTTTTTTTTTTTAAATTTATTAATATTCATTAGAATAATTCTTGAATAGGAAAATGTTTCATATTCATTTTCAACCAGTTTTTAATAAAAACAACAATGTAAAAGAGTTTATAATCGGGTAAAAAGTAATGGTACTCTGGCCACAAGGCCTTTTATTCTCTTTGTTCTTTTTCCTTTTTCTTTTTGTTGTGTGCCTGTCATTTTTGTCGTGTGCCTGTCATTTTTGTCTTTCACATCTATACTGTTTTTTTGCCTTAGATCATACACGTTTGTATATGTATAAATTTAGTCTTTTCGCTTATCATTGCACTTGTGTTATTTCCAACCCTTTATAAGATAATTTTCTTTCATAGCTTTTCTGTTTCAAGAGTGGAACACTGAAACATTAGATATGATTGGGCGTTAGTTGGCATTTGAATGTAGTTTTCCTTGAGTATCAGAATTTCACTTTATCAGGCTTTATGGTAGGAAGATATTTCGCTGGCACATTTGCTGCCCTTTTAAGTTTTCTGGTACATCACCAGTGGCTCTGCTGTGCCCTTTCTTGCATTTAAGCTCAGCTTGGTACTGGAGGTTTTCCAGTTTTTTTAATATCAGTTACTCTAAACTTCTTTCAGTAGAGTTTAGTGACTTAAAACAACATTAACTATCTCAGTTTCTATGAATCAGGAATGAGGCATGGCTTATCTGGATCCTCTGCTTCAGGATTTCTTACAAGGTTGCAATCAAGGTATAATCTGAGGCAGTGGTTTCATCTCTAGGCACAACTGGGAAGCATGCACTTCCCAGCTCACTCACATTGTTTTTTGTAGGATTTATCTCCTAGTAGATGACTGGACTCAGGGCCTCAGTTCTTCACTGCTGTAGGGTGGCGGCCTGTCTCATTTGTTTGTTAGATAGGCCTCTCCGTGGGACAGCTTATTGCATGATAGTTGGATTCTTTCAGAGCTAGCCTAGTGAGAGAGCAAAAGAGAATAGGCAAGATGGAAGCCAGAGTCCTTACAAAACCTAATCTCAGGATTGGTAGTTCCTCCATTGGCCAAATGTTATTCATTAAAAGTAAGTCACTAGGTCTACACTCTAGGGGAGGAAATTACGTTTGGACATGAATATCCAGAGGTGGAATTCATTGTGAGAATCTTAGAGGAAACCTACCATGGGTTCTGAAACGTTTTTATTCGTGCTTGCTAGGTAAACTTCATGTACAAAAAATACTTATCATACCTTTCTTTCTTGCACCCCCCTCACCCCACATGTGCAGAGAATAACACAAAAAAATGCACATACAGACATATCTTAGAGATATTGTGGGTTTAGTTCCAGACTTCCCCAGTAAAGCGAATATCACAATAAAGCAAGTCAGATGACTTTTTGGTTTGCCAATGCATTGAAAAATTGTATTTACATTATACTGTAGACTATTAAGTGTGCAGTGGCATCAAACAATGTAAATACCTTAATAAAAAATAGTTTATTGCTAAAAATGCTAACCATCTGAGTTTTCTGCAAGTTGTACTCTTTTTGCTTGTGGGGGCTTTTGCCTCAATTAGGCTGCTGACTAATGAGGGTAGAAGTTGCTGAAGGTAGGGGTGGCTGTGACAATTTCTTAAAATGAGACAGTAATGAGGTTTGCCACATCAATTGACTCTTTCTTTCACAAACAGTTTCTCTGTAGCATGCAATGCTGTTTGATAGCATTTTACCCATGGTAGAACTTCTTTCAGAATTGGAGTCAGTCATCCCAAACCCTGCCACTGCTTTATCAACTATGTTGATGTAATATTTTGGATCCTTTGCTATCATTTCAACAGTCTTCACAGCATCTTCATCAAAAGCAGATTCCATCTCAAGAAACCACTTTCTTTGTTCATCTGTAAGAAGCAACTCCTTACCCATTCAAGTTTTATAATGAGATTGTAGCAAAATTCAGTGATATTTTGAGGCTGTACTGCAATTCTTTTTCTCTTGACATGTCTACCACATCCGCAGTTCCTTCCTCCTTCCTAGTAAGTCTTGAAACCCTGGAAGTCATTTATAAAGGTTGGAATCAACTTCTTCTAAACTCCCATTCTTATTATATTTTGGCCTCTTCCCAGGAATCATGAATGTTCTTCATGGCATCTAGAATGGTGAATCCTTTTCTGAAGGCTTTCAGGAATTTACTTTGCCCAGATTCATTAGAGGAATCACTGTATATGACAGCTATAGCCTTATAAAATGAATTTTTTTTTCAAATAAGACTCAAATGTCAAAATCTCCTTGATCCGTGAGCTACAAATTGGATGTTGTGTTAGCAGGCATGAAAACAACATTAATCTCATTGTTTATCTCCATTGGAGCTCTTGGGTGACCAGGTGCATTGTCAATGAACAGTCATATTTTAAGATTTTATTTATTTATTTATTTATTTGAGAGAGAGAGAGAGAGAGAGCACAAGCTGGAGAGAGAGGGAGAGGGAGAAGCAGGCTTCCCGCGGAGCAGGGAGCCCGATGCAGGGCTCGATCCCCGGACCCTGGGATCATGACCTGAGCCGAAGGCAGACGCTTAACGACTGAGCCACCCAGGCACCCCTGAACAGTCATATTTTAAAATGAATCTTTTTTTCTTAGCAGTAGGTCTCAACATTGGGCTTCAGATATTCAGTAAACCATGTTTTAAACATGTGCTATCAACCAAACTTTGTGGTTCCATTTATAGAGCATAGGCAGAGTAGGTCTCCCATAATTCTTAAGGGCCGTAGGATTTTGGGGATGGTAAATGAACACTGGTTTCAGCTTAAAGTTACCATCTGCATTAGCCCCTAACGAGAGTCAGTTTGTCTTTTGAAGTTTTGAAGCCAGGCATTGGCTTCTCCTTTCCAGCTGTGAAAGTCCTAGATGGCATCTTCTAGTAGGAAGGTGTATTGTATACATTGAAAATCTTGTTTAGTGTAGTCACCTTCATTATCTTAGATAGATTTTTCTGAATAACTTGCTGCAGCTTCTACATCAGCACTTCCTGTTTTACTTTGCACTTTTGGAGACTGCCTCTTTCCTTAAACCTCATGAACCAAACTCTGCTAGCTTCAAATTTTTTCTGCAGCTTCCTCACCTCTTTTGGCCTTCATAGAATTGAAGAGAGGTGGGCCTTTCTCCGGATTAGGCTTTGGCTCAAGGGAATGTTGTGGCTGGTGTGATCAATCCAGACCACTCAAAACTTTCTCTTTATCAGCATTAAGGATGTTTTGCTTTCTTATCATTCTTGTGTTCACTGGAATAGCACTTTAAATTTCCTTCAAGAACTTTCCCTTGCCTTCACAACTTGGCTAACTGGCACAAGAGAGAGGCCTAACTTTTTGGCCTATCTCAGCTTTGGACATGCCATCCTCACCAAGCTTAATCATCTCTAGGTTTTGATTTAAAATGGGAGATGTACGACTTCCTTTCACTTGAACACTTAGAAGCAACTGTAGGGTTAGTAATTGGTGTTATTTGTATACTGTTTTGTCTCAGGAAATAGACCTGAGGAGAGAGAGAGAGATGGGAGATGGCTGGTCATTGAGAATAGTAGGGACACACACAGCATTTATTGATGAAGTTTGCTTATATGGACACAGTTCATGGTGCCCCAAAACAATTACAAGAGGAACATTAAAGATCACTGATCACAGACCTCCATAATAAATATAGTAATAATAATGAAGTTTGAAATACTGCAAGAATTACTGAAATGTGACGTAGAGACATGAAGTAAGCAAATGCTGATGGAAAAGTGGTGTCCATAGACTTGCTCCATGCAGGGTTGCCACAAACCTTGTTTGTAAACAAACAAAACAAGACCCCCCACAATATCTGTGACGCACAGTAAAACAAAGCATGCCTGTACTGTTGTATGATGGTTTCACATTATTCTTCTATACCTGTAACCACCTTCCAGTGCCATTCTGGGTTTCAGAGTGGCAGTTATCTTGGCTAGGTGTATCAAGAAGTGAGCAGTAAATATTTGTTGGCGTATTTCAGTGAATATTAGTTGAAGGAATAAATACATGTGTGAATGAGGAATTGGTGGTCATTATAATTAATTCTGCCAAAAGTTTTACAGAGGAAGTGACTGAGTTGTATTTTATGAAAAGACAAGGAAGGAAAAAAGGATTTTCCAGGCAGAGGTAACCAGTGCAGTTTTCAGAAGTTATGAAACAGCATGGTGTGTTCTGGAAATGGGGGAGAAGTTCACTAAGAACGGGATGAAGGGATGTTTTGAAGAATAAGAAATAATGCTGGAGAAGTAGGTTGGGGGTAGATTGTTTTCCACATTAAGGACTTGGGACCTAACCGTGAGCTCGTTAGCAGGGGAGAAGGACTTTACCAGATAAATGTAGAAAACTAAGCTTTGTGACTTCCATGAAAAAAGAATGAGCAGTGAGAATCTAAAGGCCATCCTAATCATGAAAAATCACGAGGCTGAATTAAGGCAATGACAATAGTTTTGAAGAGAAGGTTCTAAGAACCTTTTTGAGATTAGGTATGTTAGAGATGGCCAGTTGTCCCCAAATAGAATCTTTTCTTTTGTAACAATGTATTTTTTTTCTGAGAATAACAATTATATTTACTACTCTCCCTTACATAACCCCCTGATTAAATATTGATCAGTGGGATGTAAACAGAAGACTCCAGCTTCCTGAGATCTTGCTCTTAAAGGAAAGGGGTGTGCCTTTTGATTTTCTTTTCTACTTCTCTCTGGCTGAAGTTTAGACTTGTATTAAGTCATCTTGAGCTATACAGACATACAGGAGGGTATAGCCTCAGGATAGTAGATGGAAGGAGCCTGGATCTCTGAGGACTTTGTGAAGCAGAGCCTCCAGCTCCTACTTCCCACACGAGAGAACTAAACTTTATCAGGTTACACCATTATTATTTTGGGCTTCTCTTATAGGAAGTCAAACCTAATTCCAAAATAAAAACAGGTATGATAAAATACAGAATTATGTAGGAATAAAGAGTTAAATGTCTAGTTCAGTGGGCCGAATGAATTGGGACCTTGTTAACTGGCATAAGGTTTGAATGGGAAAATAATTTGTTCTTTTTTGGTTGTGATAATTTTGAGATGGCTTGTATTATTTCCTCTATTCCTGTTTTTCTATGAACCCAGCTTTGATTTTGCTTGATTCAGTGCCCACTCTGTTCCATGTGCAACTTCTGCAGTCAAGCTCTGAACATCCTACGTTCCTTCCACTTCCCCAGCTTTTTTAACTGTAACACAAATTTTTAACTCCGTCTTCTCACTACCTGCATTGTCTTACCTACTTTGAAGATAGTAAGAGTTGAAGAGCTGGGTTTATTGACCCTTTCTGTGCCTTTCTTTATTTTCTTATATCACTGAAGAGTAGTTTCGAATATATCATTTCTGTTATGACAATGGAAACCAATGCTGTTCCAATCATTTAACAGGTCTGGCTTATCTCCTAATTCCTAGAATAGGGTTTATGGCTTATGATAGTTCTTATATTACTGTTTTTTAAATTTATTTCTAAAGGAAATTTTTTAACTGAAATCACTTCCATATCTGACTATGTGTGTCATGTATTTTCCTAATTTTAGCCTAAAGCCCTAAAGGGAAAACTTGTAGGACGGGAAAAAAAAGTCATCCACCCATATAGTAGAAAAGCAGCTCAAATTACAAGAGAGGCCCACAAACAAGAAAAAAAGGAAAAGTAAGTATCTTTTTATCATTTGTATTATGCATTGGTGTAAAGCCCATTAACATTTATCTTTCATCAATATTCCCTTCTCTCTTTAATAAATGTTAAGTATGTTCAATGCACTGAAGGTAAAACAGTGAACAAGGATTCATCTCTTCTAGAGCTTACCTGAAGGAGAAACATATACTTAAATAGGTTGTGATGAGTGCAATGAAGAAAAAGGAAAAAATTATGGGACGGAGAGTGACAGAGTGGTTCCGTTTTACATAGAATAGTCATGTGTAGCTTATCTGAAGAAGTTCATATTGGAGGAGAGCTAAAAGATGTGAGGGAAGGAGCTATGTAGATATATATTGGACATATAGGTTAAAGTACCATTAGTCTATTAGATATTTAGAAGGAGATACAAAATGGGCAGTTGGATAAGTTGGGTCTGGTGTTCAGAGGATTGATTAGGGATGCAACACAAATTTGGGAGTCATCAGCTTCTAGATGGGACGGTAAGTGAAGAGACTACATAATATTATCTAATGAGTAAATGTAGCTAGAAAAGAGAAGGGGGCCAAGGATTGATCCCAGAGGCCTCCATCATTTAGAGGTTGGGATCCAACAAGTCAGACTGAGAAAGAGGAAAAAGGAGATTGTGTTCCAAGAGAAGGTGGTGATCAAGCTATGTCATTTGTTCTTGATTAATGTGAGAGCTGAGAATTGATTTAATAATTTGATTTAGTAATTTGGAAATCATTTAGTAAAGTGGAGATCACTATATATTTTTTGTTACTTCTTAGTTGTTGCTCTGAAAATTACAACTAAATCTTAAAACAATCTTGTTTCAGATTAATGCAAAGTAAATTTCAATAGGATACAAAAAATTTGCTCCGTTGTGGCTCCATTCTCCCTCCTTTGTACTATTATTGCCTAGAAATTACATCTTTATACATTATAATCCCATAAACACAGTTTTACAATGATTGTTTTTACGCAGTTGGCTTACGAGAATACACACAAAAATGCATTTGTACCGTCTTGTGTATTTACCTGTGTAATTACCTTTTTTTTTACTGGTGCCCCTTATTTCTTCATGTGGATTCAAATTGCTATTCACTGTCCTTTCATTTCAGCCTATAGGACTCCCTTTAGTATTTCTTACAAGGCAGATCTGAAAGTGAGAGATTCTCTAAGTTTTGATTATCTGAGAATATCTTAATTTCTTCTTTATTTTTGAAGGAAACTTTAGAATATAGAATTCTTGCATATAGAATTCTTGGTTCAGTCTTTCTGTTCAACACTTTAAATATGTCATCCCTCGGCCTTGTGGCCTGCACGGTTTCTAATGAGAATTCAGCTGTTTATCTTACTGAATGCAGTGAGTTGCTTTTCTCTTGATACTTTAAAGTTGTTCTTTGTCTTTGAATAGTTTGACTGGTATGTCTAGTAGGTGGGGATTTTTGAGTTTATCCTACATGGATTTCATCCTACATGGAGTTTGTTACGCTTCTTTTGTGCTTAGTTCAATGTTTTTCATCAAATTGAGAAGTTTATAGCCATTATTTTTCCAGATTATCTATCTTTTCTGTCCTTTCCTCTCCTTCTGTGACTCCCATTATACATATGCTGGTGTTCTTAGTAGTGCCACACAGGTCTCTGAGACTCTTCATTTTTCTTTCCTTTCCACTTTTTATTGCTCAGACTGGATAATTTCAGCTAACTTGCTCTTATGTTTGTGGATTCTTTTTTCTGTCGTCAAAAAACTGCTGTTGGATCTTTCTAGTAAATTTTTCATTTTTATTATTATATCTTTTAACTCTAGAATTTCTACTTGGCTCATCATTGTAATTTCTGTCTCTTTATTGGTGAAACGTTCTCATAATTTCCTTGAATTTTTTAGATACGGTTTTCTTTAGTTCTTTGTATATGTTTATTATAGATGAATTCAAGTCCTTGTTGAGTAGATCCAATAGTCCGGGCTTCCTTAGGAAGTTTCTCTTGGATGCTACTTTTAATCCCGGAATATGGACCATACTTTTCCTTTTTCGTTGTGTGTCTCATAATCTTTGGTTGAAAATTGGACATTTTCAATAATACAGTGTGACAACTCTGTTAAATAGACACCTCCAGCCTCTATACCCAATTAGGTTTGCTCTTGCTGTTTGCTTTGTGACTTTCCTAGACTGTGTTTGTAAAGTCTGTTTGTTGTGTGTGGCCATTGATGTTTCTGCTCAGTTCATGGTCAGCCAATGTTTGAACAGAGAGTTCTTTAAATGCCTTTAGCTATTAAGTCTCTCAGCCTCTGCTGAGGGGCTCTATGAATCTATTGGGCATGCCTTTGACACACCAGGATGCAGTTTACTTAGACTTCATTTCTTGTTTGCATAGAGCCTCAGGGTTAGCCAGAGGTGAGAGATTAGGACCTGCTCAGGTCTCTCCTTAGCATGAACATAGTCCTGAATGTGCATAGTCCTGAATCTAGAGTCCCAGGAATATGTTCGGGCTAGCTTTCAAGTCGTCTGTGGACCTTCCATTCCCCAGTTTTCATTTAAATTTTTTTGGTCTACCTTTTGTTAGCCCCCAGCTGGTAATATCACTGAGGCAGCTGCTATGTTAGATAATTGCTGCTGATTATTTTCAAGAAAAACTTGGGGATATAGCTGTTCCTACAGAGAGAGCTCTGAGTCAGATTATGTAAAGACAAAGTAACTTCAAGCTTCTTAACATGCTGCCTGTCAGGTCAAATGGTAGCAATTCTCTGGGGCTGGAGGTTTTGGGGAACTCCAAATTTGATCTCTCTGGTGGCTGTTAGGAAGATGGCTTTTACAACTACCATGAGTTGCTAGTCCATTGGTTTTCAACACTGTTGCAGAGCTGAGGAGAGGACGATGGATTAGGCACATTACAGCACCACAGGTTTGTTGTTCTTACTGAGATTGGCCTGTTTTTCTTGAGAATGTTCCTCAGATTCTTGCAAGCCTTTGTTTAATTTTCATACTTCTGAAAAAGTTGATTTTGACGAGTTTTGTTACTATTCTCTGCTTTTATGGAAGAGTGGATTTTCGTAGGTCCTTAGGCCATTCTGGAAGTTGGTTTCTATTCTTGATGTGAAGAAATCATAGCAAAATTTTCTTCTTAGGAATACAAAATGTGTATATAATGCCCCTTCTTTTCTGCTTCCTGTCCCTTAGTCTCCCCTCTCTGGGCAGCATCCCACGCTATAATTTGCCAATTCTCTGCTCCATCTTTGGCCTGTGAGAGTCCACAGGAGTTGCTGTAGAGACGAATAAAAAATTACTTAAAATGAAGTTAGAAAGACAAAAGTCATCATTTCAGCTATTTTAAAATAGCCTTACCATTTTAATAAATGGTAGATACATTTCCATACTAGCTGATAGAAACCAGCACGTTCATTGTTATATATTAATTCCTTACCTAAAACCTAAAGGCATATTTAGTAAAGGTTAGCTGTTCCACAGAAGAGAAAATAACCTTTTTCATAAAGGTTATTAGTATGGTAGTACCACTTTAAACAATAATTTTCAAACTTTAAGTAATTTATGTATCACTTTCATGAATTTTGCTATGTCTTTTGACATGGTTATTACTTCTGCTATTTTGCAGTTTTTGTTACTGTCTTTACTAGTTATTTCACAAACTTAGGTGTACATGAGATATACCTGTAGGGAATATTAAAATGGTTTGTTCTTTTCCCTAGAATTTTCCATCAGAACATCTGGGGCAGTGTCAAAATTTTGCATTTCTAACAAGTTTCAGGTAACGATGCTATTGCTGCTGGTTCAGGGACCACACTATGAGAACCACTGACCTATGGCATTATTTACTTAATATTTTTTTAGAATCTATTTCCCTTACATACCTTTTTATTTTTTTAAAGGAGACATTTAATCTGTATTAAAAACAAGTAAATACTGTTGCCTCTCATGTATGGTCTGAGCCTGAGGCATGCTTGCTTTATCCTTGGTGAAAAGATTTAGCAAAGGTTGGAAGACTTGTTAAGTAAGCATTAAACTAAGTTTTCGAGAGGATCAAAAGAAAATGGGGGGGGGAAGTAGCTTGCTTAAAGCTGATTTAATTTTGTGTCTGTGAGACTCAAATCAGGTTATATAGTGCTAGTGGTATACATGGCAATATTTTAGGAAATACTGCTTTAGAGTTTGGCTAAATTCTTTGGTTCACTGTAAGTACTTGTGCCATTGAGCCTAGAATTTTGGTATGTTGTCAGGTATTTTCAGGATTTTATGTACTGATTTACAGAAAGAACAATATAAAGGAATTATGGAAGGATAAAACTGAACAACATGGTAATTCCTATATGACTTATTCTAAGGAGGTCCCATTATTGGCCAAGGCTCCATTTTTATAGTACAGAATTGAAAAGTATTACTTAATTTTTTCTACTTGGACAATGTTCTAAACAGATTTTTCTCATTTGTTTTAAAGAAGTCATCATTGTAACCGTTATGGCTCCAGAAGCAAACAGACACAGTTTTAGTAGCGTCTGATGTATTTTATGAAACAGGCTTACTTACCCCTGTCATAGATGTCAGTTTTTTGAGTAGCAGCATTATTGACCATGAGTCATATTTAATTTAAACGGCATAAACACAAATAGCATCTTAAAATGCTGCTGATCTTCCTGCACTAGAATAGTACTTCCAGCAAGACAGAAATGCTGAGTTGCATATTTTAGAGAGATGGTTGGTGACAAGATACTCACACTTCTGGGATAGCTGTGAGCAAGATGATAGAAAAGGTACCAGCAGTACTTAACTTGAACTTCAGGTGCCTGTGGAAACAACTACTTCTTAATAATGAATAGCAGTTATCAAATACTTTAATTACCTATTGCTTTAATTACCTATTGCTGCATAAGAAATTCTACGGCATCATAGCAGTTTGAAACAAACAGATTTTTGGTCAAGAATTGCAGTGCCACTTAACTGAATGCTTCTGGCTCAGAGTCTCTCACAAAGCTACAGTTAAAATGTTGACCGGCCTGCATTCATCTCAGAGCTTGATAGGGAGAGGTTTTGCTTCCGAGCTTACTCATGTGGCTATTGGCAGACCTCAAGTCGTGGCTGCCTGGTGGCTGGAGGCATCAATTCCTTGCCACATGAGCCTCTCCATAGGCTACTCACAACATGGTAGCTTGGTTCCAACAGAGCAAAGGCTCAGAGATAGAGCAAGAGAGGATGGCCAGGACAGAAGACAGTCTTTGAAACTTAATTTCAGAATGACATCCATCGCTACTGTGCTATTTTGTTAGAAGTCTCTAGGTCGGGCGCCTGGGTGGCTCAGTTGGTTAAGCAACTGCCTTCGGCTCAGGTCATGATCCTGGAGTCCCGGGATCAAGCCCTGCATCGGGCTCCCTGCTCAGCAGGGAGTCTGCTTCTCCCTCTGACCCTCCCCCCTCTCATGTGCTCTCTCTGTCTCTCTCATTCTCTCTGTCTCAAATAAATAAATAAAATCTTAAAAAAAAAAAAAAAAAAAGTCTCTAAGTCTAGCCAGCCACACTCAAGGATCACAAGGCCATGATTGTCAAGACACAAGAATCAGTGGGGACCATTTTAGATGCTGTCACCTTTTGTGAACTATCTGCCTACCAAAGATACATGGTTTTCTAAGGAACAGATGTAGCCAGGCAGCTTAGAGTATCCAGTTTCTATACTTTTCATAGAACCGAGGATTCTTTGTACCACTTCCTAAGGTTGCTTTTTAGGGAGAAATGTAGGTAGGTGGGGAGATCAGGGAGGATATCTGTTATGTTGTAGTGCCTTTGACTAGTGGTCAAGGATACAAAACCAGACCTGCTAGGTTAATCAAGTTGACTCTTATTGATAGACTCTGATTAGTTAAAGATACTGCAGGAGTGAATAGCAACAGAATAAGAGCTCAAGCATGTTATTCTTCAGTATTTGAATGCTCTGATTTAGGACTATATGGAATATTGCTTCTGTTCATATTAAAAGAAACTAATATGTTTTGAAGACTAAGACATTTCAAGGGATGCAGAATTTACAGAGAGCAAATGGCTTTTTTTATTTTTAAGATTTACTTATTTTAGAGAGAGAGAGAGCGCGCACGTGTGTGCACAAGCAGGGGAGGAGCAGAGGGAGGAGGACAGGGGAAGCGACTCCCCGCTGAGCATGGAGCCCATCGAGGGGCTGTATCCCAGAACCCTGAGATCATGGCCTGAACCAAAATCAAGAGTCAGATGCTCAACCGTCTAAGCTACCCAGGCGCCCCGTGTGTTATTTTAGCTTTATTTTATGATTTCTCAGCATAGCCATGTTTTGTTGGTATGTACTGTCATACATACAGTATGTCCTGCAGGGTATACAACGAAGAACTCTAGATACCAAAAGAAAATGACTTAGTATGGAAAATTAACAGAGAGAAACAGCATAATGGGTAAAAATCTAGGAAACAACTACTTTGGAGAATTAATCTCACATCTCTCTACTTTTCTGTATCCCAGCTGATAACCATTCTAGTTTAGGCCCCATTGAGTTCATTCAGAATTATTGCAACCTGACTTCTAACTAGATTCTTTCCTCTAGACTTAATTGAAAGGAATGAATTTTTTCTACCTTGTTTATGAGTATTCTCTATTTTTTAAAATAAACTTTGGGGTATAAACAGCATTCAGTAAAATGGCCATATTTTCAGTGTACAGATTTGGGTTTTTGACAATACATTGGTCGAACCACCACGATTAGTGTGTAGTGCCATTTTCATCCTTCCAGAGGATTCCCTTGTGCATCTTCTCAGTCATTCCTCACCCTCCACCCCTAGCCTCAGGCAACCCCTGATTTTCTTTTTATTTTGATACATGAGATTTATCTTTCCTAATGTTTCATTTAAGTGAAATGATTATATGTAATTTTTTTGTGCCAGCTTCTTTCACTTAGCATAATGTTTATGAAATTTACCTGTTATTTCATATATTAGTTGTCTTTCTTATTACTGAATGGTATTCCATTGTATGGATGTGCACTGTTTATTCGTTTACCTGTGGTGTGTTCATTTGGATTATTTAGAGTACTGGGCGATTATTGGGGTCTGCAAGGTAAGGGTCCAGCCCCCCTGTTTTTATTAAAAAGTTTTATTGGAAAGCAGCTAGCTATGCCCATTCCTTTTGTATTGTCTGTGGCTGCTTTCAGGCCATGATGGCAGAAATGAGTAGTTGTGACAGAGACTGACCACATTACTCTCTGGCCATTTCAGAAAAAATTTGCCTGCCTCTGCTATTATGAATAAAGTGCCATGAACATTCACTTACAATATTTGTTTGGACATTTGTTTTCATTTTTCTTTCAGTTCCTAGAACTGGAATTGCTGTGTCATATGGTGATTGTATATAAGAAAATTGAGTTTATATGAAATTAAGTTAAAAAAATTGCTGGTCATGTGATAGGTATCACGTTTAAGTATGTAAGAAATTGCTTTATCCAAAGTGATAATATCATTTTATATTTTCACCACCAGTGTATAAGAGTTATATTCTCTCCATATCCTCTCAAGCTTGCTGTATTAATCAGGTTTTAAAAAACTTTTTAGCCATTCTGGTAGTTGTATAATAGTATCTTAGTTTGATTTAATTTTGTACATCTTGATAACTAATGATGTTTAAGTATCTTTTTATGTGCTTATTGGTCATTTCTATGTCTTTGATATGATGAAAAATCTGGTGAAATCTTTTGCCCTTTTTGGTATTAGGTTTTCTTCTTAAGTAGTAAGAAGTGTTTGTATATTCTTACAAACCCTCTGTTAGTTATTTGTATTGTGAATATCTTCCCCCATTCTGTGCCTGAAATTTTTTATTAAAAAGGCTTCATTTTATTTCTCCAGTTTTCTAGTTGTTTAAAGTGGGAGGATAAATTGGGTCTGCTTTGTTAGTCAGGGACAGTAGATTTTTTTTTTTTTAATTGCTGTTTCTCTAGTGAGTAGCATAAAGTGTGGCAAAAACTAGCTGTCCAAAGGTGTTTTCTCAATTAATATTTAGAATACCAACAATAGGAATCATGTATTACCTAGACTGTTTCCTGAGAATAAATGAGTTCTTTTTCTTTATTATAATTCTTTTCAAATTATGAAAAATAAACATTCTGTTTTGTTCTTGTTGAAGTTAAAAGGTGACACTAGGGCATTTTGGTCTTGGTGGCCGCACTCTATCTTCTAGAAGGTATTCATTACTCTTGTGCACAAGTATTACCCACCTGAACATTCATAATCCAATCAGACTTTTTTTGTGTTTTCAAAACAGATTTGTTCTATAGGTGTCCTTTAGTCATTAGTCACTGAAGAGCTAAAGAAAAGTTTCTAGTAACATTTTGTTCCAGTGATTTAAAAGAAAGGCATGGTGTTCAGTGTTTCTGCACTAACAAAATTAATTTCATATGTATAAAAGAGTGAGCCTTGAATTAAGGTTCTGTGGGCAGTTTTTTTTTTTTGTTTTTGACAGATTTTTAAAATTTGTTTTGGAAATTTTCTAACACATTATGTACCTTTTTTCCCAAGATTGAAGAATGAAAAGGCATTGCGTCTCAACCTTATTGGTAGGTAGATTTACTCATTTGACACTCTGGCTAAACCATAGTGAAGTTCTGCTCTGTGCCTATTTTTCTTTTGATTCTTCTAGGGAATTTTCTTTACTAGACTTAATTAAAACAAAACAAAATAAAATCAATCATTAGCTCTTAGAAAGTGTTAATAATATCTAGCTCAGTTTTTCAGAAACTATTTAGTTTATATTTACCTACCTACCTACCCACCTACCTACATCTCTGTCTATCTCTGAAGTTTAATTCTAGCTCCCTAGCCATTAGAATTAGGAAGGATTGTGGTCTAAGTATTTTGAAAACAGCAGTTTATATTTAGTAATGTGGATACATGCATCCTCAGTCTGTATCTCAGTGTCACAATCTTTTTGGGGGGGCGGATTTATTGTTAGTAAATTTTTATTTATAAGTCTGACTTCAAAATAGTGACTCTTAGGGGTGTCTGGGTGGCTCAGTTGGTTAAGCGTCTGCCTTTGGCTCAGGTCCTTAGGGTCCTGGGATGGAGCTCCATGTCAGGCTCTCTGCTCAGCGAGGAGTCTGCGTCGCCCTCTCCCTTGGTTCATTCTCTCTCTCTCTTCACTCTTTCTCAAATAAATAAATAAAATCTTTAAAAAAAAATGACTCTTAGGCTTTATTTGTTTGTTTTTTGTTCTTTTTTAATCTTAAGCTTTACTTGAACACTAATCTCTAATGCTTTCTCAGATAATAGAATAGTATTTCTAAGTAGGTCATCCATATCTGAGGTAGGGCCATTTTTTGATCTGTAATACTGAGAAATCTAACTGAAAGAGACCCTGATGGTCAGATTTACTCTTTGCATAGTATCTGGCAGATCTTGCATGGTTAATATATTTACTAATTTGAGGCCCTGGACAGGCCACTTAACCTTTCTCATGTGTGACTAGGAATAATAATGTACTAATCCTCATAGGATTGTAAAGCTCTTGACATAGAGCCTGCTGCTTATTAAATGTTCAGCAACGACCATCTTTGCCATTAATCTAATCAAATTTTCATTTTATTATTTTAGACAAGTGTTCTGTCTTTTGCTTTTTAAGTACTTAGAACTTCATGTTCTGTTAATGTATTTTTTTTTTAATGCATCCTTATCAGATAAGAATTACATACTGAAAGGCATCTCTGTCTCTTCCTCAAATTAAAATGTGACATTTTATTTCTGACATTTTATTTCTGACAGACTGGTTTAATTAGCTTTGAGCCCACGCAAGCCTTTATATTTAACATTGAAATAAATTTTGATAGTATTTTAAAGACATTGATGTTGAAAATTATAATGAATACTCATTGCTTAAGTGATGATTTATGGTATTAACCTGTCTTTTTACTTTGTACTTGTTGTTATAGGTGAAAAACTGCAGTGGTTTCAAAGTCATCTTGATCCCCAAAAAGTAGGATATTCAAAGAGAGATGCTTGTGAATTAATTGAAAGGTAAACACTGGGTATGTTATGAGCAAAGGGTCAGAAAAGGGAATTCTGCAACCTGGTTCTTCAAGAGACAGAGTTCTGTTCTGGATTTATAGAGGAGTAAATGGGCTTTGTTACCAAAAGCCTTTAGATTCACACCCTGGTTTAGCCACTCTAGTAGGTTTGTAAGGTTTCTGAGTCTCAGATTGTTACTTAACCCAGTTTCTTGGATCAGGAAAGGCTTTCTATGGAAATACCGTCTCAACTGACTTCTGAAGAGTAAGGGTTAGCAGACTGAGGTAAGGTTAATTGAAGAGCTTTTAGGCAGACAGAACAGTATCAGAGGTACGAGTGACTGATTTAGTGATCTGCCAGACATTAAATATAATCAAAATAATAGGTTCAAGGAGGGCATTGTGACAGATACAGCTCACAGAAGACCTCAGGTATCACTGGAAAAGTTTGGACCTTTTCAAAGGACGTTGGGAGCCACAAGAAGTTTTTTACAGCAGGCGCCTGAGATGATCATATTTGTATCTTAGAAATGTCACAGTCGTGAGAACGATGATGATGGCCTGAGGGCACGTGGCTTTGGCCAGGACACTGTTGAGAGGCTAATAAAGCAGTCTAGGCAAGAGATGATGGTGTTGGCCTCTGCATGGTTAGTAGCAGTATGGTGAAGAGAAATGAAGATTCCAGAAATATTAAGAAGGTAGAAAGTCTCAGTCTTTAGTGAAAACTTAGATATGGCATTAAAGGGAGAAAGTGGAGTCAAGGAGGACGTGTACATTGTTCACTTGAGCAAGTGGGTGGATGGTTGTACTATTTCCTGAGGTAGAGAGCCAAAGAGATGGAACAGGTTTGGTGGGGGATGGGGGGGGACAGAGGTGAGCACAAGTTCACTTTTGAGGTGTTAAGCCTCCATGGGACATCCAAATGGAGATGTCCAGGAGGTGGTTGAATACGAGGATCTGGAGTTTAGCAGATACTTGAATAGCAGTCAGTGATCTGGTTGCTGAAATTTTGGACATGGTTGGGTTATGTAGGGACCATCTGAAGTCTGAGGACACAAGGAACTCAGAAGAGTGTAAAAATTTTAAGGATAGGTGAAGGCTGTGGTTTGTTTTAAATGGGGTAATATAAGCATGTAAGACTTGTAACTCAAATTGCTTTCTTGTTTCTCAGGTATTTAAATCGATTCAGCAGTGAACTAGAGCAGATTGAATTACATAACAGCATCAAAGACAGGCAGGGAAGGCGGCACTATTCCCGGGAGACAGTCATCAAGCAGACAATGGAACGTGAGCGACAACAGTATGAAGGATATGGCCTTGGTGTGTTCTCTGTGACTTTCTTTTTTTCTTTCTAAAATACAAAGGCATATCAGGTTTCTAATTCATTTCAAAGATTCAATTTTATTTATTCTGTTTATTTAGTTTAGTTTGAATTTCTTCTTTTGATTTCCTTTCTTTTGTGAGTATATCAAATAATTTTTTTTTTAAAGATTTTATTTATTTATTTGACAGAGAGAGCAGGAACACAAGCAGGGGGAGTGAGAGAGGGAGAAGCAGGCTTCCTGCTGAGCAAGGAGCCCGACGTGGGGCTTGATCCCAGGACCCTGGGACCATAACCTGAGCCGAAGGCAGACACTTAATGACTGAGCCACCCAGGCACCCGCAAATTAAGTTTTTAAATTCTGATAATAAAAACACTGAAGTATTAGGACCCTAAAGGAAATATCGTGTGGGTAACTGTTGTGTTGGTCCCAGCCTATTGATGGCAATTCTATCAGCTAGAAATTCCTGAGGCACTCACCTGGGCCTCTAGTACTTGCGTTGAGCCCCCATAGGTATTTCCCCAACTGGAGCCATTATTGTGGCTGGCACAGCCCTTATGGTTCTTACTATGATTGTAGGATGCGTCTAATAACAACCGTCAGGGAAATTTGAAAAAAAGAAAAGCCAAGATTTATTACTCACAAGGTCTAGAGGATCCATAGCACACCCAGGGCCACACAGGGAGGTCAAGCGTAGAGAGAAGAAGGGAGTGTGGACTTGGGGCTCTACCTTTATTAGGGTCTGAAGGTGAGGTGCCTGGGGTTTTACATGTTCACTCTTTTTTCCCTGCTTATTTATTTATTTGTTTATTATTATGTTTATCACCATACATTACATCATTAGTTTTTGACGTAGTGTTCCATGATTCATTGTTTGCGTATAACACCCAGTGCTCCACGCAGAACGTGCCCTCCTTAATACCCATCACCAGGCTAACCCATCCCCCCACCCCCTCCCCTCTAGAACCCTCAGTTTGTTTTTATTGGTGAATTAAAAACAAATGGGAATTAGGGCGTGAGAAGGGAAAAGTGGGGTCACTTGAGTGGTGATTTAGTAGGTTACTAGGGCTTTCTAAAAGGGGACTTTGATGGGTGGGCATAGCCTGGTTTCTTATGTAGTTGTTTTGCTGGTAGTGTATCATATAGCTGGCAATATTTTTATTAGAAAAGGGTGTCTTTGATACAGATGTCTACACAGTCAAAAGCGTAGTGTTAGGCACTTACACTGTGGTAACACTAGAAACCCTGAAGTAGTTGGTTGGCAGTTCGTCTTCATCATTTCTAAAAGTAAGCTTCTTCACTGAAAAAAATAACAGAAAGTAGCTGTAGCACTAGATAGGATGTGATTTAAACCTTTAGAGCTTACTGTGTAACAGGACAAGTTATTTAACCCTCCCCCCACCAGGTTTTGTTTTCTTCAATTTAAAAATTGAAATAAATAGTATACCTACTTCCCCAGTTGTTTAAAAGTTACATGAGGCTTCATTTATCAAAGTGCCTGACACAACCTAATACAAGGAGGTTTGGGAAGAGCTTCAAGCTCTGCTGTCTGTGTCCCTTTCACTGAGTAGTCACCTTGTAAGAACGTAAAATTGGTTTATGCTCCTAGATCTCCCATCTCCTCCTGTTTCGTTTTCCCTGGAACCCACTTTAATTAGCTCTTGTCTCCATCACCCAACAAATACTGGTCACTGATGACCTCTTAAGTTGCTAAGGAGAACAGTTGCTATACTGGGTGTTGATTCTCAACTTTTCTGCGGCATTTGATACAGATGATCGCTTCATTTTCTTGTCACACTTTTCATTTGGTAAAGAAGACCTAGCCCTTCCCTAATTTTCTTTCTAGCCCAGTTTTCTAAGTTGAATCCTCCTCCTCTTCACAAACTAAATATTGGCCAAGGTTCCCATCCTTGGGCTGCTGCTTGTTTTCTACGTATACCAATTCCTAGTTCATTTCACTCAGCCTGTGGTTTTAAATACCATTTACATGGTGATAACTTTGAAATTTGTATCTGTTGTCCCTAACTTGTCCCTAGAACTCGAGACTTGTATTATCAAACCGGGGTTTCTCAAAATCTACTTGAATGTCTTCTAGGCATCTCAGACCTGACGTCCCAAAGCAAAGTTCAGCTTTTCTCCTAAAACTTGTTCCCACACAATCTGTATGTCAGACAGCAGCATCACCACATGCCCAGTTGCTCAGGCTGGAAACCCGTAGTCACTTTCTCGCTCCATCCAGCTCGTCAGCAAAATGTATTTTGCATCTGATAATTTGTGCTGCTACCACCACCACCTCCCTAGTCCAAGCCACCATTGTTTCACCTGTTCCATTTTAACAGCCTCCCAGTTGGTCTCTGTGCAACTGCTCTTTCCTCCTAGAGTCTGTTCATCACGTAGCTGGCAGATGAATTAACAGAGCATGGCCAAGGTCAAACATGTATTTGAGCCAGCACAGAAACTCAGATCCAGCGTTCTTTTAGCTGTGCCACAGTGCTTCTTCCAGAGTCAGGGAGTGTGTCTGGTGAAAGGGTTGTGATCTTTGACAACTTCCTAAGTGCCTCTTGACATAGGCAAATTGTTAGTGAATTCTGCAGGTTTGGAGAAAACTGGATTCTGACACCTCTCCTTCCTCACCCCATGTGGTATAACTACTTCTGACTTATTTTATTAGGATTTCTTTTTTTAAAAATGGTGCTTAATTTACACCTTTTAAACACTTGACCCCCTCATACTCATTTTCTGAAACTATAGTCATAATCAGCATATAGTTGCATCAAGCATTTTTATTTTATCTTTTCCATTCATTGATTCTGATTTTAATTAGTATTTTATTGCATTGGCCAGGTTTTTTGCAGTCCTGTTCCAGTTTTTTATACATGCCATTTGTGTTTTACCAATAACTATGATTGTGCATATTGGTTTATGGTAAACTTTCTAATCATGGTGAGGAACTGTTAAATACCTAGTGTTTTTTTGTTTTTTTTTAAGATTTTATTTATTTGAGAGAGAGAATGAGATAGAGAGAGCGAGCATGAGAGGGGGGAGGGTCAGAGGGAGAAGCAGACTCCGTGCTGAGCAGGGAGCCCGATACAGGACTCGATCCTGGGATTCCAGGATCATGACCTGAGCTGAAGGCAGCTGCTTAACCAACTGAGCCGCCCAGGCGCCCAATATCTAGTTTTTTACTAAAAATGGATTTAAGTTTTATTGAGTTGCTTTGAGCAGCTACTGATTATAATTTTAAATTTTTTTTCACATTTTGAACAATGTGATTTTTAAAAATATTAAAGAATACTTCTATTTCTCAGATAAACTCTACCTTGCCAAGGTGAAGTATATGCTTGAAAAAAAATTTTACTTTTCACCAAGAAAATATATTTAAAAATCTAGCCTATTATTTTAGGGGGTTGATCATTAGAAATTGCCGTGTGCCTTTCACAGATTAAATGGACAGGGTTTATCTCATTAATAGGTTTATTTCATTTTACAGATTCTGTGCTAGAATTTATTATTTTATAGCATTCCTCTTAAATCACATTCTTAAACTAAGCCCTTACTTTTCATATAGCATTATAGCAGTGCTTTGAAATTTTGTTTTGCTTGGATTTTCTTGCTGTCTGTCACTTATTCATTGTATCTCAGATAATAAACAAGAAAACTGTAAAATGTTGTAATTTAAAGAACACTGCTTAATAGATATAATTATTTTCTTTCCCAGAGATTCCAGACATTGTAAATGCAGGTAATCTGAGAACTTTTAGGTAAGTCTGTCTCTCTCTATTATCCCTTGAGGCTGCACGTAAAATACATGAGACAAACTTTCTTCCCTTTTGTACTTAGACATTAGAGCCAAAAAAACTCAGGGGTTTCTTTTAACCTTTTCTCTTTTATCAAAGTAAGACTTCCTAATTTGTGTTTATTTGAAACACATGATGTGCACTGACATGCTAGTGACATGGTGCCTTGAAATTCCTTAATATGATACTTAAAAGAATTTGGTCTCACTATTCCTCCCCAATTCGTATTTTTTTAAAAGATAAACTAACAGCAACAGGCTCAATGGCTCAGAGTTCTATCCCTAGACTGTTCGCAGCGCCCTCTTTTGGAGAAGATGGTTCCTGGGAAGTGATACCAGAGAAAAGGTTAAGTCGTCAAGAACTAGTTAGTTCAGTGGTTGAAAGATGATTTCTGTTGTAACAATAACATATTTTTGGTTACTGAAACTTTGACTTCCCACCAAGTGTGAAAGGAAAAATCGTTTCTGACTGCACTTTGGAGATTTGCGGGTACGATATAGTTACTACTTTTGAGGTTCTTGATACTATATGGCCCGATGGAGTGTTCAGGTTGGGGAGAATAAACCAATGGCAGAGCCTCCTTGTCACTCCTGCCTAATAGTTTCCTGTACTGCGTTGGAAGTTTGGGATATGGGAGAATCTCTGTGCAGTTACTGCTGTTGTAGGTTAATGAGAAGATGCAATGTGTACGGACAATGCAAGCCTTCCTTCTTGGTACTTTTTTTCCCTAATGCATATATTGTTTGTTTCTAGGGCATTTGAATCTGCAATAAATGTATAAGCTTTGTTCTGCTGCTTTCAGAGTTTTAAATATTGACTGCTTCGCCGTCTTGCACCCCAGCAACCCTCTCTATGTACTCTCTCTTTTGTTGATTTAGGGAATGGGATTTTGATCTGAAGAAATTGCCAAACATTAAAATGAGAAAAATTTGTGCTAATGATGCAGTCCCCAAGAAGTGTAAGAAGAAAACTGTTACAGCTGTGGACAAAGATTTAGGGGAACTGGAACTAAAAGATGAATCAAGTGATTCAGATGAGGAAATGACAGCAGTGGCCTAATTGTCCTTTGCCTGAGGTGAAAGCAAATAATTGGAGAGCTTCAAGTTCTGTTTGACCTGATCATGGTAACTAACTGTCCAGATACAAGAATTTGCTATGTAACTTCTTTCATGATGAGAATCCCATTTGCAGTTTCAAAAACGGTGTTATGATTTTCATTTAAAAATGAATGTTGCTTTTCGTTTACATTAAATTGCTAAAATAGATATAGTGAAATGAAAGCACAATCTAAGATCCATTTAATCTGAATTTCCCGGGCAGGGGGAGTGATATGAATAAGGACAGAAATGTTTTGATTTTTTTCCTCATGTTTACCTCGGATCACCTGATCTCACATTCTGGGCCTTGTATAGCAACATGTTTGCTGTAAGGGTCCTAAGGATACTTCTTGAGCAGTAATGATAGCAAAACTGGCTTTCAGTAATAGTGTTTCACCAGTCTTCCTCTTAAATATAACACCTATTTTCTTTCCTTGTAAAATAAGGAAAATGTGATAGGGAATAAATATACACTGATAGATTGTACGTTATTTTTACTATCTTTAAGCCAGAGTTAAATGGTAAAGTAAAAAAACTGGTGACTGTTTTCATGATGTTGGCCTCCCACACTTAATGTTATCTTTTGATTGAGGGAATAAGTGATTTCAGGTTAACTCTGTTTCTGTATTCTGCTTTCTCATGAAAAATTACAGGTTTTATTTTTGGAAACAACTAATGATTAGAGAATCAGTTATTGCAATTGTGTTATTTGTGTTATTTATTCTTCTGAGAGATAGGCTAAATGACATATAACTCAGTATTTCAAGTATCATGAAAGACATGGATGTGTTAGAATGTTGTTCTTCGTAGAACTTGTTAAAGGCAATTATCTTTTAGGCTAGTTTCTAAAGGATACAATGCAAATGTATTTGAGTATTTTCAAGAAAAGAAACACAAAACATTAATGCTGTAAGAGGTTAACTAGATATCAACTAAGTCTTGATAATTTATTTAAAATGTTACAGCTTTTTTATTATTGAAAATTAAGAATAAAATTTATTTTCACAATTTCACTTCTTAAAGTTCTAATTATTTCATTTTTTTCAGTGTTTTAACTGATGCTGATTTGCTTTTCTTTAGTAATTTTCATAAAAATATGACTTTATGGTTACAGAAGCTTCAGTCTCTTTAGTCATTAGAAAGTGTCCTTTTTTTGTTTCAAAATGGCTATAAAAACTGAATTTTAAATTATAGTAAAGAGAATAGAAACTGTTTTATCCTATTTAAAAAGGCATACTGTTAGAGAAATAACTTAAGAAAATGGCAGATCATCCTCCCCCTCAGACATTTGTTCCTAGTTTTCCCTATACCATCAAAGCAAAAAAGACAACAGGCACACTGCTTGGAACTAGAGTAGGTAGATACTTGTTGAATGGATGAATTTACTTTACCATTTAGGATAATAATTATAATTCATAATCACAGTTTATTATATATCATTATATAGAATAATAACGTGGCAGTAACAGTCATAATTTGTTATTAGCATAATGCTTTTAAGTGATATCCTTAAATCATTGTCTGTAGAACATGTTTTTTCTGCAGTGATAACTTGTGCTGCCTTATCTAGATTCTTTTCCGGTCAGTAGTGTGTCTTTTTAAGAGTGCTTCTGCAGTCTGTGGCCATGGAACGGAGTAAAAGCAGCTCACTTCACTTGGTTGGCAGTACTGTGCAAACCGGGGGCTGGTAAACTTTTTTTGTAAAGAGCCAGATAGTAAATATTTTAGTTATTGCAGCTGAAATGGCAATTTCTGTTGCATATTTGTGTGTGTGTGTGCGTGTGCGTGCGCGCGCGTGCGTTTTACCACCCTTTACAAATGTAAAGATCATTCTTAGTTCATGGCCATACACAGAAGAGGCTGCAGGCTGGGCTTGGCCTGCTTGCCATCATTTGCCGACAAGCTGAACTCGCATGGATATGGACCAATTGTACATTTCTAAGCTCAAAGCAGCTGACTCTGACATTGGTGGTCTCTTTCTTAATATCTTAGTCAGTTCTTTGCCTCACTGACATAGACCATAGGCATCTCTTTAGGACTCTGTTCACCTCAGATAGAAGCTTTTTCTACTCCTCTATCCCTTGTGCTACTGGAGCAGGAGATTAGATAGGGGCCCTCTTTGTTCTACCACCACTTCCTCTTCTCAGTTCTTTCAAGTTCTACCACTGTCTCCCTCTGCTTGTTATCTTACCTCCCAGAAGAACCTTCTGCCCATTCCACGACTTTGGCTCTTGACTCAGTTTTCTTCTCTCCTATTTCAGTCATGTTACTGATCCCAGAAGCCTTGCGGATAACAAATCTAACATGGTGACCTTTACCTTTCCCAGTCCTTTTCTCCATCCCATCAGAGGCCTACCCGGGGTCACACCCAGATCCTTACCAGCTCCTGAAACTCCTGTAAACCTGACAGACTCTTCTGTTCTCCCTTCACTATCTCCCATCTCCCTCCATTGCTGAAGTTCCACGCTTTGACCTCATTCTTTCATTGTGCACCACCTCTCTCCTGTTTTCACATTATTGCCTCAGATTTTGTTGAGATTTCAGATTTACTTGCCTCCCTGCATATGCCCTGAATCCCTCTGCCCTGGGCTGCATAGTATTCCTCTTTCAAAACTCAGACTGAGTAACACTTACTATCTTTCTCCTTCATACCTGTTGTTCCCAAGCAGCTCAGCGTTGCTGAAGAATATCAGAGAGGTTTTTGCATTCATGTTTGCACATCGCAACTGGATTCTCAGTACTGATGAGCAATTTTACTGTGTTCCTGTAGTAAGTTCCCTTTCTAACTTTGAGATAATTCTTTCACTACCTTTTTCCATATGTTCTAGCTCAACTTTAATAGTTGCCTCTTCAACATTCATCTGTTCACTTTATATGCATCATTGAGAAGATACAAGCTATCATTTTCTTTTCTTTCGATTTTGTGAATGTAGTAGCTTTTCTTCTTTCAGAGGCAAATACTCCTGCTTGTGTTCTGGATCTCACTCCCTACTGTCTCCTGAGGAACCTTGAATCTCTCCCAAGTTTTTCACCTAATTTCTCAAGCCAGAAAACTCCCTGTAAATCATCCTTGATTCTTCTCTTTCTCTTTTCCACACCCTCCCCAATCTTAATTTGATTAGTGAGTATTTCTGGTTCTGTTTCCAAAAAGAGAGTCAAATCAGTCCCTGTCAGGCCATCTCCATGTCCTGCCTGTGCTGTGTCCATTTGCGAGTGAGGAATCACTCCCCCTCATGCCACCATTCTTGCACCTGGGAATCCGTTCTCCAGAGTTTCTCATGAATTTTTGGAAATGTACACTAAAATATGCTACTCCTTTGTTCATATTGTTACAGTATCATTCTGTCACTTTCTTCATGGTATGTTTATTTGATGGTTATAATTTTGTTTCTAATCACTTTTTTTTTTTTGAGATTTTATTTTTTAGAGCAGTTTTAAGTTCACTTGAAAATTGAGAGGAAGGTAAAGAGATTCTACCCCCTGTCCCCACACATGCATAGCTTCCCCCATTACTGACATCCCCCACCAGAGTGGCATATTTGTTACAATTGCTGAACCTGCATTGATAATCTGCCACATTTCCAATGAAATTCACATTCCCTACAGTGGCCAAAGAGGCCTGAAATGATTTGATTCCTGACTGCTTCTCCAACCTCAGCTTGTTTCACTTGCCCTTGGCTTACTGTACTTCAGATCACAGGCCTTCTGTCCATTCCTAGAATGACCAAGCTAGTTTCTATGGTGGAGCAGCTCTGCTGAGACCCTGATGACCTTGTGTTTGTCCACGTAGGCCAGGCTTGGTTCAGGCTGACCTGAGCCTTAGAATGAATGCCCTATGAGCTTCCTGGAACACAAGGATATGGGACCTGCAGGAACTACCATGGGCCACTTCATGTTTGCCTCCCTATCTTTCAAGGAGGACATGTGAGACAGTCCTTGCCTCTGGATTTTGATAAAGTATGAGACCATTCCACTGTGAGTCCCTTTAGGGTGTAGCTGCAGGCCACACACTTGCTTAGCTGCAACAGGGAATCAGCATCTCGGCACCAGGGTGCCCCGCTCCTTATGTTGCATTATCATATTGTTCATCTATCATGCCTTATTTTTGTGTCTTCCCTTGGGACAAGACTCATGGGGAGCTGGCAGTTTGCCTTTCTTTTGCTATCTCTGTAAGTAATAAAATGTCAGACTCTAAAAAGGGTGTGCTCTTTCCTTAGTAGCTGAATCTTGCCACTTGCCACTAAGGAGTTTGGTTACTGTTCCCTCTGCACGCATCGCTCTGTCCCTGAGTTAAAGTATTTCCTTGTTAATCACTTCTTTATTCCTTTCTAGAATGTCAGGGTTGGTCAGTCTATGTTGGCTTTAATGTAATATGAATATGTTCAGACCCTGCTTAAAAACACAGACTATTATAAAAATCTTAAGAACCCAGGCTTTTTTGAATGTTGCAGATACATATCTGCAGAAATCCTGGTAAATTAGTCAAAGAGTATAGAAACCATAACAAAAGTTTAGGTCACTTGTTTAATATACAAAGTCTTTCACAGGTAATTATTTTCCTTAATTTGTCTTAGTACACATTATTCACAAAACAGTAAGTTGTTAATGCAAGAGAATTAGGTAAAACCAAAAAAGTACAAATGCTCAATCTCAAAAATTGCACACAGTTAAAATAATTTTTCCTTGTTTGTTTAAATGCAATCTCCAATTTCAAAATGGGCTTTCTTCAGATTTGGAGGAAACACTGCAGCCCAAAATAACAGTACTTCCTTTGAGCTGTATTGATATGTAAAATAGCACCTTTGGGCTGACTTAAGGAAAGAAAAAAGGTTTTTCATCTTTCTCAGTTAAAGTTAAGTCCTATACAGTTATTACATAACAACTACAATAATGACAGTAAGTTTAAAGAGCTCTACTTTGTTCCAAAATACTCACTGGCAAGGTAAGGAAAGGTAAACTGTCAGGTGAATGCAGTAATCTTTCCCACCTCACCCCCTTGACAATTAGAGTGTCTTAATGATGTCATTGCTCTAATGAGCTAATTTTCCAGCCAAACAATAGGTTAGTTTTAGGGGTATCTAAGGACCTTTTGCAAAACAAGATAAACGCGGCTCTCTGGGACAGTAATCACATGTCATAGCAGCTCAGAGTGAGATTTAATCCTGGGACATTTTGAGAGACTCCTTCAGTATATACCTATTTTCAGTTTCTTCATTGCTGTATCCCAAGTTTATTGGATCATTTTTGCTTTGATTTTTTTTTTTTTTTTCATTTTTGTTTTGCTTGTGTTTGTTCTTAAACTTAATTGCCTTTTGGACTTCACTTTAAAAAAAAAAACAGTGGGATTTCATTCCTTTACAATTCAGTCTTTGATACAATAAAAGTGAGAGTTCTTTTAAAAATTAATAGCATAAATGTCTGTGATTTATGGTATTGATACT